AAGAGGAAGTCCCCACCCAAGCAGTGGTAATACTACCGGATGTCCATTATGTACTTTCTAGTTTTTTGGATGACATATTGTTCTCAGTAGCCGTAATGTGAAAATAGATCGTTGATTGGTTTTATATTCAAGTTAGTATTTCCGCTATTCAAGTGTGCAGTGAGGCCGTCTTATCAACAGTCATTTCTGAGACATAAATGCAAAGTTTAATTAATGAAGTCTACTCTCATTTTTTTGTATTTATAATTAACTCTAACGTTAATTTCAAGATTTACAGTACATACTTTTTAAAAGAAGTTAAAGAACACCCGATTCTATCATATGACTTTGGTTAGTCATAAGAGAAAGCGATAGAGCGAGAAAGCCATAGAGCGACAGAGCGAGAAAGCCATAGATCGAGAAAGCGATAAAGTGATAAAGTGATAAAGCAATAAAGCGAGAAAGCGATAGAGCGAGAAAGCGATAAAGCTAGAAAGCGATAGAGCAAGAAAGCGATATTTCCCTTAATGCCGTACATTAAAACGGTTTTTGCTAAATATTTGGTGATCCGTTCCTGTAATTCTCACCGTTATTTTGCCTCTTATAATTAGATTTGTTTAACATCTTGTAGTAGATAAAAATATTACAAAGACATACATAATGTTTTTCTCGTTTAGCTTGTATATATACACGTGTTTATTTTCCTGTAGTGTAGTACATAAGCAAGATTCTCAGACGACAACAGAATAGTCACTGTTCATATTTTCATTTTGTTCATAATCCACTGAAAAGGACCATACATCAATCAATTACATTTTACGCAAAACTCTGTGGATTGTTTTAAAATCACCTACGTATGTACAGTTAAATTGTGTTTTAAGTAAATAGTGAGAAAAGTTCAACATTCCCTCCCAATTGCAGCAGATATCACATGCGGTCCCTTTAGTGGTCAAGAGGGGATATTGATGAACCGCAAGAAAGCGATAAAGCAAGAAAGCGATAAAGCTATAAAGCGAGAAAGAAAAGATGTATATACAATTGGAGAAAGCGATCGAGCGACATCTTGGCCCATTCTGGATCTTGACCTGGGAGCGAGGGATCCAATAAAACTCCTAAATAGGGCCATAAATCAATCAAATTCTCTTTTTACGCAAAAATTCGTGGATTGTTATAAAAACACCTACGTCTGTACTGTTAAATTATGTTTAAGTAGATAGTGAGAAAATTTCAACATTCCATCCATATGTATAATTTGAAACGTGACTGGAAAAATCTCAGCTCTCTTTTATGACTAAAACCCACCTCAGCCTCCGCGATAAGGCGATAAAGCGATAGAGCGAGAAAGCGATAGAGCAAGAAAGTGGTAAAGCGATAAAGCGAGAAAGCGAGAAAGCGATAAAGCGATAGAGCGAGAAAGCGATAAAGCGAGAAAGCGATAGAGCAAGAAAGTGAGAAAGCAATGTCCCCTCTCGGCCACCATAGATAACCCAATAAAACAACGCTCACTTGTAATTATCTTGTGTATCTTTTTCAGCGTGCGTATACGTATATCTTCAAAGATATTTTCTTACTCGCGGAATGCGGGTATCCCATACACATGCTCTATACTGTAGTGAATAGTGCACTTAGGTGAAACATCTCGCTTACTGTAACTTAGTCATACATCACTGTTATGGGTGCATGTGTACTGCGACTGCCTTTAGGAAAGAGCACGAATAAATGCTAATTAGAAACAGCATAGAAGATGCTACCCATCGGTTTACAACAAGCAATAGACTGTACCCAAGAGAGGTAAATATTGTGAATATCCGGAGAAAACTGTCAATACCCAATGTGAATGATAACACGTGAGTATAAGTACCCAATGTGAATGATAACACGTGAGTATAAATACTCAACGATAACACGTGAGTATAAAATACCCAGTGTGAATGATAACACATGATAAATAAATACTCAAGTGAATGATAACATACCCAATGTGAATGATAACAAGTGAGTATAAATACCCAAAGTGAATGATAACACATAATGATAAATGCTCAAAGTGAATGATAACATACCCAATGTGAATAACAAGTGAGTATAAATTCCCAAAGTGAATGATAACACATAATGATAAATGCTCAAAGTGAATGATAACATACCCAGTGTGAATGATTACAAGTGAGTATAAATACCCAATGTGAAGGATAACACATGATAATAAATGCTCAAAGTGAATGATAACACATGATAAGTAAATGCTCAAAGTGAATGATAACACGTGATAAATAAATTATCAAAGTGAATGAAAACATACCCAGTGTGAATGATAACAAGTGAGTATGAATAACCAATGTGAATGATTACACATGAGTATAAAATACCCAGTGTGAATGATAACACGTGCGTATAAATACCCAAAGTGAATGATAACACGTGATAAATAAATGTTCAAAGTGAATGATAACACATGATAATAAATGATCAAAGTGAATGATAACACATGATAAATAAATGATCAAAGTGAATGATAACA